TGTGTTTATCAAATAAGAACAATTTTTAAATTTTTTCATAACTATAATTTTTCCATAATATATGCATCATAAAATAAGGTAAATTATGATGCATTACAAGATATTAGTAAGGTCGATGATGGGATTGAATGGACATTCTTTCGGAAAATTCTAATGAGATTTGGCTTCCTTCACACTTTGACTGACTTGATTATGTTGTGTGTCTCTTCGGTGACTTATTCCTGTTTATTTAATGGTTCCCAGTATGGTTATATTGTGTCGTCCCGGGGCCTGCGGCAAGGCGACCCTCTGTCTCCGTATCTCTTTATCCTGTGTACTGAGGCACTCATTGCTATGAGTCACCGAGTCGCGGAAAAAGGCAATGTAGCAGGATTTCGAGTGGCACCGTCAGCTCCGGTGGTTCCCAGATTCCGCTTTGCTGATGACACGCTCATATTTTGTCAAGCCTCCGAGGATAATGCCACTACCTTGCGGCAGATTCTGGCCAGCTACGCTGGGGCCTCAAGACAGGTTATTAATGTGGAGAAGTCGACGATGATCTTTTGCCCATTCACCCCATTGGAGTTTCAGGACAGTATACAGTCGATTCTAGGTTTCCATAAAGTAGATCAATTCGATCGGTATCTTGGGTTTCCTGCCACGATGGGTCGATCTCTTAAGGAAATATTTGGTTATCTTAGGGATCGTGTGTGGGCCCGGATCAAAGGGTGGGACGCTAAAAAATTATCAAAAGTTGGGAAGGAAGTAATGATTAAAGCCGTTCTTCAAACTATTCCCTCTTATATTATGTCTTGTTTCCTGATTCCGATTGGTTTGATCAAAGAAATTGAGAGCATGATTAGAAGGTTTTGGTGGGGTTCTAGTGATAATACGCCGATGGCTTGGATCTCGTGGAAAGGTTTGTGTAAGTCAAAGGAAGTGGGCGGTTTAGGGTTACGGGATCTACGTGGGTTCAATTTTGCTCTTATCACGAAACAGGCATGGAGGTTGGTTACATGCTCGGATATTCTTCAATCCAAGATATTGCGGGCTCGGTATTTTCCTCATGGTGACTTCTGGTCAGCTGGTCCGGGTTATAACCCATCTACAACACAGCGTGGTTTACTCTACACACGATCTTTGCTTCGGGAAGGGTCTCAAATTCGCATCGGAAATGGAGTCTCTACTTCACTTTGGGCTGACCCATAGCTCACGGATGATCAGTCTTATGTCTTGACCAAGCAACCGTTCCACTCAGCCTTTCCGAATGTGGTAGCTGACATCATCGACCAAAGTTCGGGTATGTGGTATCTGGATTTGGTGGACAGCCTCTTCTGGCCTGTTGATCGTCAACGCATCCTTGCGGTACCTATTGGCGGCCAGAACACAAGGGATAGATTAGTGTGGCGCTTCTCGGCAAAAGGAAATTTCTCGGTCAAGTCTTGCTACCATCACATCATGAACCGGCTGGATCGATTGGGGGGTGATAACGGGAAAGTCGGGGGTGAAGATAGTGGTGTAGCGGTGCATGACTTGAATAAGCTTTGGAATTTACCGATACCACCTAAGGTTCGCCATTTCCTATGGAGAGCCTGCTCGGATTCTCTCCCTTGTTGTGTTGAACTTTATCGACGTAAGGTGGCGACATACCCGATTTGCTTGGTTTGTGGGAGTCATGAGGAATCTTTGGTGCACGCGCTGTTCGGTTGCGGTGTCTTGCAACGTATATGGGCTCATGCTCCATTCAATATTTCTCGAGCAGATCAGTGCAATACCTTTTGGAGCTGGCTTAAATCGCTCCGAAATGCCCTAACCAAGGACTGTTTTTACATGGCAGTTATGGTCGCGTGGAAGCTTTGGGAGTGTCGTAACAGGTTAGTGCATGGCGAGGAAGTGATGTATATTAATATGATTGTCCAATGGTGCGCTAGCAACTTTGAGCATTATAATGCGGCGCAGTTTCGTAAGCTCGCCGTCAAGGGAATGGTGCTGCCAGAAGTGTGGAAACCGCCGCCGTGGGGTCACTACAAAATTAACGTTGACGCCACCTTCTCGGTGGGGACCGACTACTATCAGACCGCTCTTGTGGTCAGGGACGGTGGTGGTGAGTGTATTTACTGGAAAGCTCGGCGATTTAGAGGCCGTGTCCGACCCATTGATGGTGAAGCTCAGGCGATTTGTCAAGCTCTTATAACGGCAAAGCTACATCAATGGAGCTCCATTATTATTGAGAGTGATTGCTTACAGGTTATGGAAGAGTTAAATAAGAATGGGGATTCTCTTATTTCTTGTGGTGCAATTTTTGATGATTGCGTTATGCTCGCTCGACTTTTTGTTTCTGTTTCATTTTGCTTTGTTAAAAGGCAGGGTAATGTGCTTGCCCAAAATTTGGCTGTTGTTGTTGTGTCTAATTGTCGGGATGGGGTTTCTCTCCCCCAACATTTGGCTTAATGCCCAATAATATTCTGTTCTCTTCAAAAAAAAAAAAAAAGTAAATTATGTCTTTTATTGTGACTTAACGTTTCTCGGATTAGGTGGCTCTAGTTGTCAATCAAAGTTAATTATTTTCAAATTAACTTAATACATATTTATTAACTGCCATGATTAACTATTTCCAAATTAATTCAAATCAAATAAAATCATTTAATTATATAATCAATGATGTCAAAATTTTAGATTGCCGTTCATTTAAAATTGAAAATTCGAATTTTTAAAATATTTCCAAAATTACGTAATAATCCATGCTATATAATCTCCCACGACAATGTGATTTTCAATACTCGATCCAACTACTTCATATTATCATATGTAATTATCTTTCCGTGTTAATACTTATAAATAATTTTCAGCACTCGATCCAACTACTTCATATGATGATCTACTTCATATTATCATCTGTAATTGTCTTTTCCTGTTAATAATTATATGTAATTTTCATCGCTTGATCCAACCACTTGATCCTCCACCTTCTTCTGTTCCAAAATATTTTCCAACTGTACACATGGATGAAATAATCATTTTCATTGGTTCATTTTGATCCATGTGGACCCATGCTTAATTTTTATTTTGTTTCAATTTAAAGATCCATTCTTTATCATTGATTTTTCGTAAATATAATGCAACGAAACCGGCAAGGCGAAATTTGAAAATTAATTTGACAATTGGTTTTCAATAATTTGACTTTCTATATTTTGGCAAACAAATCCGAACTTTAGGAATTGTCTAATTTGAATTTTAATCTAATATTTTTCCAATAGTTTCTTTAAGGTTTTAATATAACTAGTAATACACCCGTGCCATGCACGGGATCAATATTTTTAGAAAAATTATTTTGGATAAAAAAAAACGAACGAAAACTTTGAACAGTTGACATACATGTAAATAATACAAAAAAAATGTTTTATTGAATCAAAATATACATTTGTTTGTGATTTACCTTCATATTCGCTGAAAATCTTTTGTGCACACTCATTGCTCGTAATTTTAGTTATATCGCCCGGTTTCGAGTTGATAAATATCTTTATCTCAAATCTACTTTTAACTCCGGACATTGCGGCGAACAATTGCCTATCACTAGGCCAAAACAGGACACTGGCGACGTTTTTTTTCGCGACGAAAATCATTTCCTAGCAAATTTGCGACGTTAATAAATAAATATCGTCGCAAGCTCCATCTCGCCACCAATTTTGAAAATGATTGCGACGAAAATCCTAGATTCGTAGCAAACGATTCTAATTTGGTTTTTTTAATAATTAACTATTGCGACGAATTATATTTTTTCGTAGCAAAATATTTAAATATTATTTTATTTTATCTTGTTTGCGACAAAAGTGTGTAAACCGTCGCAAGATATTTCTGAAAAATATTTTTGGGCGACGGAAATATGTGAATCGTCGCAACCTATGCATTTAAAAAAATTAATTTTATTTTATGTGCGACGAAATTTTCGGAATCGTCGCTCACGACTTAATTTATTCACTTACCCCTCTCCATTTCTGCCGTTGCCCTAATATTTTACTCTCTCTTCCTCCACACTCCCTCCCCTTTCCCGTCATTCTCACCGTCGATTAAATTGACGCTGTCAATCTTCGCTCCCTAAGTTTACTCCCGTCGGTGCCGCCGTCATTGCCCATGTCCTTCCAGCCGCCGTCGTTGCCCAAGACCACGCCCCCTGCAGTCGCCGGCCGTCATCTTCGTTTCCAATCGCTGCCACTGCGTTCAGCTAGACGCCGTCCACCATCTATGAAGCCCAGCCCTCAAAACTCTAGGTATTAATTTACCTATTTATGAGGTAAATAGCAGGCACCTATATATGCAATTTTAATGCCCCAACTTCCGCAACACTCTTTGGTCTATAAATCCGACATTTTGTATGATAATGTAAGATTTGACTAATTTTTAATTTAGCTTTCATATTTCAGGAGGTGAAATAATTTGTATTAGGTTGTCTTGTCTAATATGAGAATCATATGCGATGATTATTTGGTAAAATCCTTTCAAATGATGGGTATTTGGTAGAGTTTTATTTGGTTCCCTCAATGTTAGATAATTATTTTTCTTAATATCCTTTCTAGGGAGGATATGAGATGAATATATGTTTATGTTAACTTATATTCCCATTGATTCTCCTTTTGCTACCAGGTGTTTATCTAATGAAGATTCATTAATCCGTGTTTGAAGCTGTACTGTAGCTCGGTCCTATCAACGGTGCACTCTCCGCTACAGCATTCGAGGACCCTCCAATTCTCAACAACGGGAACCAGACAATCTTTAAACGGTAAAAAATTCAGGAAAAGCGCTGCCGAAGAAGGTAATAGCTTCTTCAAATTTACTGTTGATTTTAAGCTAAATGGATGATTTTTATGACTTAATTGGCTTTTTATTTGCTACTTTTGGTGGTGTAATTTTACACTTTTTAGACCTAATTGTATCTATTTAGACCTAATTTTGTGTGGGCTGGTGAATAGTGTCTAGCGTAAAGCAATTATTGCCCGTTTTCTCCTGTTATTATGAATTAATCGTTTAAATCAGAACATGGGTTTGTCTTCAGTATTTTTCGATTAGAATTAGGAATCAAGCTGCAAATTTTTTGTTTAATGTATCTCTGCTTCAATAGTAGTGTTTTTCTGTGTTTTGATGAGCTATTTATTATAAGATACTTTGTCAGAAATTATTGATTTTTTTATATTGTGATATTATGTGGTAGGGTGTGGAGAATGAGATTTCTGTGCAGAAATTGGTCTATAAAATTAAATAAGTATATTAAATGAATTATAGTAGAACAAGAGTATATTTTCGTGAAAGTCAATGTGCAAAAAGGTCAGTATCGCCGAGCAATAAGTAATGAGTGTTGGGCTCGTTTCCATCTCGGAGCGAGAAAATGTCGGGGTTCCTCGAAATAACGGAGTCCTCGAAGTTATCGGGCAAACCCAATTCTCTCCAGACCTTGAAAATGGCATGAAGGGGCAGCTTTTTGGTGAGGGACATCGATAGGAGCTTGACCAATCGGGTTACTGCGAGGGGCGTGGATTTGTTTAAGGCGTCGGATTCTTGGCGGACGATTAGGCGAGCGGCGGGTGTGAGTGTGCAGTAGGGTTGGAGGTTAACGGGGTGGGTGAAAATGTGGAAGATGTGAGGGTAGGTGCGGAGGAAGGCGGAGGGGCCGCGGTTGAGGTGGAGTTTCTGAGAGAGGCGGTGGAGGAACTCGATGGAGATGGAAGGTGGAGTAGATTGGGAGGCGAGGATTAGATCTTGTATGGAGATTACTTTGAGGAGGTTCTTGTATTTCTCCATTAGCTTTTCGAATGTGGCGTCTCTGGCTCTGAAGGTCTGTTCCTTATGTATACGTGTCTATATGTTGGTAACTTGTGACAAAATCTCATAACTTGTTGGTCTCTTGGTTGTGATTTATTGCAAAGTGTTTCGTATTTGTTACATATGTTTGATCATGGTATTTTGTATTTGCAGGCCCAACAAAATTAGTTCTGAGCTTAATATTAAAGAAAAAATCCATAATGAACAAGGATTAAATTTCACAAACTAATTTTTCTTTGCTTTTAACATGTCTGTAAGATTATGGTTCTTGGTAAACATTGTTTAATTTAACATCTTTTTGTTATATATTCAACAGGGATGTATGCTAAGATACAATGCCGATTACTGATGCACTTCTTGGATTTATGATGAAATAGTGGCAATTTATCGTCGCTTTTTTTTCTTGATACTCTATCTGTCGGTAGAAGAATTCCCCTGCTCAAGGTACGTACCTCACTATTTATAAGTTGCTTTCTTGAATAGGAAGAATTATTTACTTGCTCTGCTTCAAGATCTAATTTCTAGGAGAACGTGATTAGAAGTGGTAATTTAAGCATGTTACTTCTCTATAATGTGTGGATAATGATTATCCCCGTTCATTTTTGTTTAAGCTTTAACTGTGTTTTTTTAATAATGAAAGATGGTAAAAATTTCGGTTTATGATTCTTCGTGTAAATTATAAATTGGGTATGAATAACACGGTAAATTTTAGGCAATAGGCTTCGTTTTATATGCATCATTTGGTTTGATAGCAGTTTCTTCATGTTAGATAGTAGTTGTTGATGTTGATCGATGTAATGGATTATACACTTCTTCTTTATTTTATTTTATTTTATTTAATATTGTGAACTTGTACTCGTTCGTATTTATACGTAATTCTTATATACTTAAATATTTTTTTCAGGCACGCTTGGAAATAGTTTATGATCAAGTGGATAACTAATGATGAATGGATAAAAGAATGTGGATCAACTCCTTTATGTAATTCTACAATATTTTTCTTAATTTTTGTATTTTTTTTAACTTTATTTGGATGTATTTGACCTTAAATTACAATTTTAATGTGATGTGTTATTATATCTAATAATTAATTGTGTTATTATAGTTGATAATTAATTACAGGTTAATTTCTATTTTATTATTCAGCGTAAAAAAATAAAACAAAAAAATTGCAATGTTCCTAGAAAAACGTCGCAAATTAATGAATAAATGTTGCGACGAAAATATTAAAAACGTAGCGAATTGAGGGATAAATAGTTGCGACGAAATATGTTTTCGTCGCTATTTGCTACAAAACGAATAACCCAGAAAAACGAATTATTACGACGAAAAATGCATTCGTCGCCATACGTTGCGACGAAAAAATAGATTCGTCGCAGGCTTAGCGACGACCGCTTTGGCGACGATTTTTTGGCAGCGTTCGCGACGATTGTTTTTCGTCGCAATTATTGATATTTCGTCGCAAATACCATATTTTCGTCACTAGATTTCGTCGCCAGTGTCATGTTTTGGCCTAGTGCTATGCCACCCTAATATTAACACTAATATTACACTAACAACAACAACTACAACTAATACTAAAACCAACATTGATAATACTAATACCAATATTAATATTAATATTAAAACCAACACTAATAATATTAATATTAATACTAATCCTAATATTAATACGATGATTAATACTAATAGTCTAATACTAATATCAATATCAACACTACTTTTAATAATAATACGCCAATTCTAATACGAATATTTAATGTTTAAACTAATACGCCAATACGAACACTAATACTAATACTAATACTAATACTAATACTAATATTAATATTAATACTAATACTAATATTAATACTAATACTTATACTAATACTAATACTAATACTAATACTAATACTAAAACTAATACTAACACTAATACTAATACTAATACTAATACTAATACTAATACTAATACTAATATTAATACTAATACTAATACTAATACTAATACTAATACTAATACTAATACTAATACTAATACTAATACTGATACTAATACTAATACTAATACTAATACTAAAACTAATACTAATACTTATACTAATACTAATATTAATACTAATACTACTAATACTAATATTAATATATACTAATAGTAATACTAATACACCTGACAATAAATATAATTTACCCAATTTTGAATTTGAATTCGACATTGTTTTAAAATACATAAGAATCTGAAAAAAAGAAAAGAAAAAAAAGAAGTAACAGGAGGGAAAACCCGGAAGAAATAATTGGTAAATAAAGGTCAAAGAGTATCTGTAAATGGACAAAACTCTTTGAAATCCTGGCACGTAAATATGTAGTAAATGAAAATTTAGCATTATATATTTAATATCCGGATTTTAAATTTGCAAAATATGTGCAATATACACACGTTATTTTTTTTCTATATTAATAATAAAAAAGTATAAATTTCATAACATATTTAAATTAAAATAAATTTTAATTCGATTTAAACATCTAAGTGTAAAATATACTACAATTGCAAGGAATTAAAATAAATGCAAATTAAAATGATATGATCTATATTTAAAACCATATGATCTACATTTAATCATTTCCATGTATGTTGATAAATTAATTAATTGATAAGTTCATTTAAATTATTTATAATTTGTAAAAATATTATCCGAATATTTAAAAATGTAAAAACAATATTGTAGTTTTAATTGTAATGTACTAATTTAAGACGATAAATATTCAAATATAATTAAATTAAAAAATATAAATATTCAAATTTTATATCGATATCCCAAAATGTTTAAAATAATTAAAATGAAATGAATATATTTTTTCAAATCATTCAAATACACCAAAATTTAATAAATTGTTCAAATGTATATTTAAATTAGAAAATTAATAACATAACCATTTAATTAAAATTTTAAAGAAAAATAATACTAAAACGAAATCAAAATATTACATTTTTCGGAAAATTAAAATTTAAAATAAGATAATAGCTTTCGATTTTATAGAATATAAAATTTTGAAATAATATATATATATACATGTGGTAAATATTTAAATGAGTGTAGAAATGTTAAATATGTAAGAACTCAAATACGTACCAAAATCAAAATGTCAACTAATCAATTGAGGAATACACATCATCAATTGAACTTCATCTAAGCAATTTGGAGATATGACATAGACATTTGCTACATGTCTTTCATAGAGGGCATAGATCATCTTTTTATATTATATATAGATGGTAACATTTTTATTTATAATATAATAAAAATAAACAAATAAATATGATCCCAATTTATTGAAATAAAATCATAGAAACTAATATGAACGTACAAATTAATAATAATGTATGTACATATGAACAAATAGATAAAAATAAGCATTATTAATGGACACAAAAATTAACGTTGTTACAAAAATATGTAAACGCTAAATAATCTATTACATGATCAATCAAGTTCATTAATCTCAATTTATTTTTTATCGAAACCAATCTTACAATCATCTCACGTATAATCAAAAGATGGAAATGCATAACTATTTTTTTCTAAATCCATCCTTACAATATACGCGGATCATATTTAGGCGTGTTATACAACGTCGCAGGGCTTCTCTCTTGCTAATGTCGCCGCGTAAAACACAAACGATGCTATCCATGGATCTGCAAAAACTAAAAAAGCAAAACAAACATAAGTTAGACTGTTATATGTACACATACATAGTAAATAAATAACATTATAAATATTCTACGACAAATAAATGCTTCAAGCGAACACATCGATAAATATTAATTGCATTATGGATTTACAAAACAAAAGGAATAAAAAAAGAGTTTTAGGATGATGACCTTAGTTTAGTATGATTATAACAAAATATGTAGATGAAGAGTGACATGAATGAGTTGGGGTTCAGATTCGGGTATTTATACTTAATTTCCACACACTAAATAAGTAAATAACACGATTTTAAGGAAATCATATATTGTTTATATTAGTTAATGTATATATAAATGCATATATAGTCGTTTGATTTTATGTGCATGGCTAAATAGCTGGAGATATGA